GCCCAAGAGAGATCCTTTATCAGCTGTCCAAGCAGCATCACGTAGACAGCGCTCCGTACTCCTCGTGGGCAAGCTCACTGGGTATCTCTCTGTTATAAAGAAGGGCCATTGCCTGAAACGTCGTCTATCATGTTATTATTTTTTTAATGTTAGGGCAGTATTGCTAATGACTTTGTTTAGACTTTGTTCACGGAGTTGTACGGTTTCACTTTGTAAAAAGTTACTCCTCAACGCTGCACATCGCCTGCTTTGACACATGGTTCAGACACATGGGCATTGACAAATAACACGGAAAACCGCAATATACAATACACGATGCAACATTCTTATTATTCTGGCCCAATTTATTTTAAAGATAAAGTTGAGGATTCATCTTATATCTGATGCGTCTTTTCAGTGCTTAAACTTCAGCCAGAATGCCTTTCCGAGAATGATTACAACATCAATATTATTTTAAAATTATAATCTTGCTTCTAAGCATGTTCATACAATGATAGGGAAGTAGGAAAGTAGGTTACAATATTGTTGGATATGGATAAAAGTAACTTATTATTATTAACTTATTCTCATCTGCATAAATAACGCGAGTGGCATAATTCTGACGTTGGTGGTGGCTATGCACGTGACCTCGAATCCAGAAGTGGAGGGGGTGAGGGTTGGTGGCTCGCATACAGAAGAACTCCCTTCCCGTGGACATTCATGAGGAGCCATACCCTTGCTTGCCAAGGAGAAGCGGTACAGCAAAGTGCGGACTGTAATCTCTGCCCCTTCTATGTGGGATAGAGTGTTTCCCCCTCGTACGTGTGGGTTTTCGCTGGGTGTTCCGGTTTCTTCCCACATATATAAACGCTCAGTAATTGGCTTAAAATATCTTGATACTGAAATGCAGAGCTTGGAAAATTGTTGGCGCCGGCTAACCGCCTGGTTGGCTTCTCGCTTGCAGCCGTGAGGTGCAATTTGCCTGAAACACTTAATCTTCATGAAAGTAATATATTAACCAATATTACACCGATACTCCATGCTCCAAGTCAGCCGAGCAGCGTTCCAGAAAATATCGACTTAGAAATGAATCCGTGGGTGAGTGACATATTTATAACTTAATTGATACTGAGCACAGATTTCTGGTGCGTCTTACTTTGCAGGGCATCTTATGAACAAAATATTACGGTAACAGTGGAGGCTAAATATATGAACCCGTAAGTGTCAAGATCAAATCTTACAACCAGCAGCATGTGTGTAGAATTATGACACGTTTCCTGTTACGTTTCCTCTGGGTCTTCTTGTGCGTTCCAAGTTATTAAATATTTATCTAAAATAATATTATTGACATTCTTGGCCGGATAATGTTTTTTCCAAATGAGCAATTCAGCTTTCCCGTAATCGCCCACGCAACTAGACCCTCTATAGGCTACTACAGAAGTCGTGCTCATTATGCACAAAGCGCTTGCCACAAATGAACCACAATACCTTGCTGACCTCGTCATGGAGCAGAAACCATCACGCGACCTCCGGTCATTATGACAGCAGCAGCAGCGGCTTTTGGCTGGGCCATTGAACAAAGACGGTGGCCGCATCGCGTGGCGCTTTCAGATGCGCTTCTGCGGTCGTCTGGAACGCTCTCCCTTCCGATATTATGAAGCTACTGGGAGTTATGCACTTTTAAATCTAAATTCAAAACTACTTTCTTGAAAACTGATTTTTGTGTTTAGTTTGTTGTCCTTCCCTCGCATCTCCGATTAGCACGGTTGGCTACGCATGGTCCGAAAGAAGTTTAACATTCACACAGAGGTGTGATGAGAAGTCTCTTGCATCCACTTGTATGCATGCGAATTAGCGCATTAAATGTTGTACGGTCAATGTACCTTGAATGGGGCGAGCGGTGGGCGCGGTGGTGTAGCGCCATGCATTAGGATCCCCGTCCATCAGACGTTCGATCCCTGGTCACAGCTCAGTGGATTGGCAAAGGCTTGAAAACCTTTTGCAGCCTCAATGAATACGCCCGATCTCGTCCGATCTCAGAAGCGAGCAGAGTGGAGCCTGGTTGGTAATGCACACGGATTGGGAGACTCGTTGCCTGGGAATACCAGGTGTTATAGGCTTTGGCTTCAAGGTGGCAGGCCACGAGTAGTATCGCCATGCATTCTCGAATCTGTGCGGAGGTGTGGGTGGGTTTTCTTTGGGCTTCTTCGGTTTCCGGCCCACATGAAGCAACTAATTCATGGGATTGGCCAAACATCGTCAAGCAACTGGACTCTCCTGAACAATAGGCCTTGAGGCTCAGTAAAGCTTTCCTCGGTAAAGGATATACCTATTAATGTTGTGTGACGATGGTAGACCTGTTACCAGCACGCTATCTGGCATTGACCATACCCATCCAGAACCGCGTCCGAGAGCGCATCCGCTGTGGAGATGCGGCCATGGAATCGTCTCGCACGGGGGTGGCGTTGTCTGGATTGTTACATCGCGACGTGGTGAGAGATGGCGTTGGTAGCCGCTTGGGGAGACCTTCATCCAGCAGTGGATCGACCGAGCCTGAGGCTGATGATCTCATCTCCAGATAATAGATTCGTGAATCCAATAGCTAGAATTCAGCGAATCTCGTGGGGTTGTCACTCGTGGTGAGTGCTGAGAGTGGCCAACAAGATTATGGGCGGAACTCATGACGGAGAAAGTAGGAAAGGAGAATGTTTGAGAGAAGGGGGCCGAGCCGACGGGGAAGATAACTCCGCCTGTTTCTATCAAAGCCAGGAACGGATTCGTGGACCTTCCCAATAAGCACACACATCTGGTACGTGTGTTCGTCTCACACCTTACGTTCACAGTGATTGTAATTGTATTCGCCGCTCTTTATATACAAGAAAGATAGTGGTTGTGGTGTATGTGGTAGTGATGGTGGTGCCTGTCACAGCAGAGGTTTGACAGCAGAGGTCTCACTCCGAATCAGTCGGGCGGCATTATCTTTTCATCGGCTGCGAAATGCTGTGTGGAGCTACCCGGTCTGTCGCTCCACACGACGCTTTGGGTCTTCTCGGCCAAAGTCATGCTCTCCCTTCTCTATGCTTGTAAAATGTGGACCCCTCTAATGGAACATCTGCGCCGGTTATAAACATTCAGGCTGGCATGCCTACGATCCATCTTGGGTGTAACCAGGCTGGATTGTGTGAGGAGCTCACAAATCCTTGAAAGATCTGAACACATTCCCATCAGTGAGCTCCTCCGGCGGGCAATGCTGCGTTGGCTGGGTCATGTAGCCCGCATGCCCAGCCACCACAGTGCCCAGCCACCACCGCAGTGCCCAGCCACCACCGCAGTGCCCAGCCACCGCATGCCCAGCCACCACATGCCCAGCCACCACCGCATGCCCAGCCACCACTGCATGCCCAAGCAGCTTCTATTTGGCTGCATAGAGGGGGCTAAACGGGCACGACACGGGCTGAAGAAGAGATGGAGTGATGTAGTACAGGAGAATGTGGAGCTGATTGGACTTCAAGAAAGACTGGTACCAGCGGTGTCAAGATCGGCCTCTATGGAGGAGGCTGGTGAAGGACGCAGTCGCCCTCCAACAACAACGGAGGGCAAAGGAGTGACGTTCACAACAATGAGCAGAGCGCCAGGCGGATAAAATGCAGCAAGTTGGCACAGTAGCGGGTACATCTACCGGTCATCTCAGTCAGCCAACCCATGGCACCTGGGTTTGTCCCGAGACCTCCTCCTGTCAGCGAGCCTTCAACACTTCACGTGGCCTCAAAGTGCACGTGGCCTGGCACAGGCGCCGTGGTGACGTCACCGTCGCTTAGTGGCGAATGGCGGGTTGTTGGTATTGGTGCTAGCGAAGGAATAGCGGTGAGTAGTTAAGAGGTGGCGGGGATGGCGGTGGTGGTTGTGAACTGTATAAAAACAAAGGCTGCATAACTGCTTTCAGATGTGAGCTGGGTTCACGTCGTTAAACACTTGAATGTGATTAATTGGACGCTTTGCGTCTGAGAACATTCCGTGTTAGCTAGCGTCAGTGCAATGCAGCTGGGGCCTCTTAGGCATAGAGTGAGTCGCCTGCGGGCTGCGTTATGTGACCACTAATCCTCAACTGTGTGCATAATTTTAGTCCGCTCACGCGTCTACCTTCCGTGAACTCTTGTGCTCCGTCACGATGTCTTACACATCGCATGTTTATACATTATGTCCCAACTCATGTGTGCACACACATAAACAAGCATAGGCGTCGAGCTTAGGGCTTTCCAAACCGCAGTCCTGGCGATGCACCACGGTTCCGTTCTTTCTGCCTTTTCCAATTAACTCCTCCCATTAACTCGATCGCAAGCTGCACGCACCCGATGATTTTTAAACACGTCCCACGTGACGTGCCGAGCAATTGTCGGTGTCTGTGGCTCGTGCACACGCGTGCGCGCATACCGAGATCTCGAACTTAATTTGAGTCGGCTTTATTTACGCAGACAGCGTTAATTTCTTAGCGCATCGCGTGGGTCGTGTTTCATCATCATCATCATCGGGTGCGTGCGGCGTGGAACGAAAGAAGTTTTATTTCAATGGGGAGGAGTAAATACAGAGAGACGGGGCGTGGTAGATCCTGATTTAAAAAAAAAAAACACCGCGGTGGAATGAGGTCGTGGATTCGATCCTCTGCTTATCTTCACTACATTCACGACCGCTTGAGATCCTTTTTCAACCGGGGCCATTGCAAAATCAACCAAAGAGGGCAGTGGTGAAGTGAGAAAAGAAATGTCGCCGAGTGCCGACAACACCACGCGACACTGGCTCCCACGTGCGGGAGACGGTGACAGCTCGCGAGCAGTGCAGGTGACGGCGAGCGGCGTGGACCTCGTGCTCGGACGTGGATGGTCGAGCCGCAAGGGGTGCGATCGGCGAACTTTACCTGAAGCCAAATCCGCGATTTTTGGGGTGTGGTGGGGGAGGAAACCCGCGCTGGGCATGGGTTTTCTGGCGTATTCTTGGCGGTGGAGACAGAGACGGGCTGCGCAACGTTGGATTATGAAAGCTACATTCTTTAATATGAGAATTGGAACAAGTTTTCAGAAGAAGGAAAAAAAGCCAAACACATCAATGGTGTTGTATGTATTTTACTAATTAGTACGATGTAAGATTAATAAGGCAGAAACGATGTAATATAAAGCACTTAAATGCTGAGATGGCTGCTTGGAAGGGCTTCATCCAGCAGTGGATCGATCATGGTTGAAGAACATTCGATTGCATATTAAATCAACTCCAGATATTCTGAACTTACAGAGTAGAACCCTGACTTTCGACCTCAGCGCCTGGAGCGATGCCTGCTTCTGAAACTCCGGACGTACTGCACATACAATGTGATTGTGAAGCGTTGCACGTGATAAGCACACAAGCGATAGAGCAGCAGCAACAACAACTACAGCAAAAACTCGCGGAATAAACCCAAGATAGTACCGGGCATGAAGCTCTCCTACTCCCTTTCCAACTTCCACTTAATTAATCGTTCCAAATTCAGAGCGATGGGCTTCGGGGAGAGGAGGGGGGAGGGGAACATACAACTTGTAACCGGCTGATTGTAATTCATTTGTGGGACTTCTCCCACCCACACAAGCGCGAGGTGGTTGCCGTACAGACACCACCGTGCCAAGCACTCATTCTTAGGTGTGGCAAAAGAGAATTATCCAGGGCCCCAGTAAACGGAGGACAAAGGGGCCGTGGACATTCTAGGACACGGCGATTGCGGGTGAGGTGGTCACCAAGGGAGGCACCGCCTAACACTTGGTAGGGTGGCTGTGATGGTGATGGTAGCATGTGATAATCTGGTGGTATCTGGCGATGGTGCGTGGTGTTGATGGTGTGGTATTGTTGGTTGATGTGCTATGGTCATGGTGAATGGTGAATGGGAGTCGGTTATGGTATGTGTGTGTTGGTGGGGAGGCGGGGGGGGGGATGTGGCTTTGATGGCGAGTGGTTATTGGGTGTTGGTGTTGGTGAGAATTGTGGAGAACTGGCTGGCTGACGGGCCCAGTGTTCACTTCCCCACTGCCGCCAGAGGCCCCGAGAGGGGACACTTCACTTTATGGTTCTTCTTCTTCACCACCGTGTAGACGCATTTCTTCGTGTCTAGGATCGGCTCACAACTCGCAGGGAAGCCCATTACGGGCCGGAACGCACTGAGGGAAGAAACCCAGACAGGCGGTTAGGTGCGGCGTGATCAAGAAATGGGATTACAAAAATCGATTTCTTAATATTATCTGTGCGGAGATTTTGAGTGTTGCACCCTCGTAGAGGTAGTCGTGGCAATGGTCTGGGTGCTGCTCTCGCGGATTGCTGCTTGACTGGCTGTGACAGCCGCCCATGGGGAGAGTCGCGCATGGCAGGAAAGAGACGGCGAGAGGAGTGCGCAAGGCCGAGCGCGGCCCTCTCAAGAGGAGGGGGTGGGGGAGTGTTTGATGATGTCGGGACGTTGCAAAAAGCTTCCCGAGTTACATTTGGGAATTCGCCACTCGTCCCGGTACGCAGGACACGCACGGGGACGGTTTAGGGTTAATTGCCTGAAACCCAGAGTTTGTCCGTCACAAATGGTTACTCGGTACACACGCCGATGACACTGGGGATGCACTCCGACGCTCCTTCTTCTTCCACGCGTCTGTTCCACTCACGTGGGGGTGTCCGCTGTCCTTGCCAATCTTCTCCACGCTGCCCTGGGCCATCTCTCTTTCCGCTCCTCGGCCCACCGTGGTCCGATAGCACAACACCGCCCCCCACCCCCCACTCCCCCCCCCCCACCTCTTCTTCTGCCTTCCTCTTCATTTCTGTCCTTCCACTCGCATCACTTGCACCTTGTGACCCACATAATTGTCCCGTCGTCTCTCAACATGACCGAACCACACCGGCCTTTTTTCTCTCTCTCATCTTCTCTGTGATGTCTACCACCTTGAGTCTTCCTTGAACTTCTTCATTTCTCACGCTGCCCTTCCTTGTTAAACCCAACATCCACGGCACGCTGATGCTATGGTCGCCAATATGCACAACTGGGGATGAGGACCCTAGAAACTAAACAAATGTAGATTGCGCACAATTTTTGCCAGTACCTCCAGACAGTGCCGGATTAAGCTAGTGCGGGGCCTGTAGCATATGTTATAAAGGGACCCTAAATAAATAAAGCACATAAATATTAAAAGACACATTTTTTACTTGCACAGTAAAGTAATTATATTTTTTCATTTGCTATACAGCCAGATTATACGACAAATCGCCAACCTTAAACACCCAGTCGTTCATAAAAGTTGAAGGCAGTATAGTACTGTAGTAATAGAGCAAGTGCAGAATCACTGAACCGGAATTTATAGCTTGAAAGCATTTAGCGCAGGGCCCTTGAAAATGCGGGGCCCGTAGCATTTGCTACTTTTGCCACGATGATAATCCGGTACTGCCTCCAACGTGTTCTGTTCTGACATTGCCTGTTCCTTCCGTAGGCATCAATCACGTTGGCGTCGCTCTCCTCTGTTCTGTGCTAATGCACACCCCGCAAAATCGCCAGGTAGCTGGCTACACGGCGATTTGTCTGCGTACCAAATAGAGGTGAATCGATCGAGTAAATACAGGGCTGCCCCCTTCACCCCCTTACTCACACTTGGCAGCAGCGCACCATGCCGCTGGAGCAGGAACACGCCATGCAGTCGCTGGTTCGCCACCTCTCGCCGTCCTCGCGGAGTGCGTCAAACTCGTCCAAGCAGCCACTCGACACGAGTACCGGGACTGCCAATATCGGAAGGAAGAGCGTTCCAGACGGTCGCAGAAGCGCATCAGAAAGCGCGCGATGCGGTGACCATCTTTGTTCGATGGTTAGCAAAAAGCCGCTGCGAGGATGACCCGAGTTTGCGTGATGATGGTTTATTATCCTTGACGATATTAGCAAGGTATTGTGGTTCATTTGTGGCAAGCACTTTGTGTGTAATGAGTGCGACCTTGTAATGTATTCGTTCGGTAATCAGAAGTCAACGCAGCTTCCCAAAGGCCCACAAACTGAAAGCGACCCGAAATTGACCAGAGTATTACTGTTAGAGTCGAGAATAGTTGATACGTTCCTTGAGTTGAGAAGTGGTGAGAAAAACGATGATAATAATACTCATAATAATGGTCGTCATCAGTTTTGTGAAAAATGTACTATTTACTGGCAGTGGTGTTAATGGATTAAGTGGCAGTGATGATGACGACGATGAGCCTGGAATGATGACGATGAACTGGCAGTGGTGCTCAGCCAGTCCGTGGCTGTGCCGTGAACTCACCCAGGCCATGCGTATCGACGTAAGTCTCGGCACGTCGATGGAAGCAACCGCCACTGGACAGCGCCACGAGGACGCTCGCGACCAAGGCCTGAAGAGCGACTCTCTGCGCGTGCGGTGCGCGTGTGTGGGTGCGTGCGTGAGCGCATGTGGGGAGCGGTGGCACAGTGGTTAGCGCACCGCGCTGTACAGAATCAGAAGATTTATTTACGCTGGAGGAGTCCTATGAGCTATGAAGCTCTTTTTCACATGTGCCCAGTAGGGACATCTGTGGAAAAAAATAACAACCCAGCAATCCGAGTTCGATTCCCGCTCGCGACCAATAACAGTGGCGAATATCTGAACCCGTCCTGGGCCTCCCCTAGGTTGACTCAGCTTTAAATGCAGCGTGTAAACATCGCCACTCGGAAGACAGGCGGGCGGATGAGTGCTGGCCACCCACACCCCCTCGTGTGCCGTTCTGGCCTTGGTAGGTGCTCGATAACAGAACTTGCCTCGACAATCTTTGCATGTTTGTGTTGAGCGTGTGCCCATGTTTGTGTTTAATTGTGCTCGCGCGTATACATATGCGCATCGGTGTGTCTGTGCCTGTGTGCGCGCGCTCGTGTGTGCAGGTGCAGTACGTGTGCGCGTGTGTTCGGGTTTGTGCACGTGTGCGTCAGTGAGCCAGTGGTTCTGCATATGGGTGCGTGTGTGTGTGTGACGGAGTGTGCAAGCGCGCTACCCTACGAACCCGGCGACTCGAGTTCGATTCCCGCTCGCGGCCAACACCAGTGACGATTATGTGAACCGGTCATGGGCCTCTTCTATGTCGACTGAGCCTAAAATGAGTACCTGGTGCGGTGTGTAAACATCGCCACGAGGGAGACAAAGGCGGACGGGCGTGGTGTTGGCCACCCACCCCCTCGCGTGCCGTGCCGGCCCTCATAGGTGCTCGATAACAGCACTTGCTCCTACAGTCTGTTAAGACTGCACGGGGGATCTTTGTCTTTATCTTGCGTGTCCACACGTGCGCGTGCATGCACGTGTTTGCGCGCACGTATCCGCGGGTATGCGGGTACGCATTCATTGGTCGTTTATGTATCGTTTGTACGCGTGCCGGGTGCTTGGGTTGCGAGTGGTGAAAGTCGTTGTCATAGTGGTGGTTTGCGAACTACTTCAGGACCACGGACACCCAAGTTGGATTCCCGTCCGCGACGAACAAGCCCGTTATCCACTGCTAACTGCGCCTGGGTTGGGACTCCTCTAGATCGGCTCGGCAATAAAGTAAACACGGGCACCGGAGAGACAAAAGCGGTCGGGCACGTGTTTACGTATTTATCCTGGAAAAATCCGATGAGCTATAAAGCTCTTCTCTCACGTGTCCTGTAGGGGCAGCTCAGAACGTTACATCTACCAACAGAGTGCGTGTTCTGTGTGTGCTCCCGTGCCCGGCCGCCTTTGTCTCCCTAGTCCTGATGTTTTACTCAGCGCACCATGTACTCTAGAGTCGTCAGCTGGTTAAACAAAACAATGAACTTGCACTGGGCTCCTCCACAGCGCGCCACGGCTCCCCCGTACATTGTGTACAGTGTGACTCGGTGGAAGAATGTGCCCCACGGACTAATGCACTCTTACCGTCACGGCCATGGCTTCGTGTCGTCTTGGCGAGACGCGTCTTCGTCAGAGCCGCGCGCGGAGTGTGGAGGCGTCGCGCGGACGGGCAAGGCCCCTCGACCACCACGATAATCACCACCAACCCCCCCTACCATCACCAAAACCACCCCTCCCCACCTTCACCCTCCCCACCACCTTCCACCACCCCCACGAGTCCCCCTCTCCATCACCACTTCGCCCACCACCACCCCGGTCTCCTTTCCAACATCAACCCACATGACCAGCGTTGTGAATTATGGTCACAACAACTCAAATGGCCGACGCGGCGTGGGAGGGACTTGTTGAATGGCGACAAGGACACGGCACTTATAAGAGAGGTCGCCGGCTCGATCTCCCTGTGCGGCAGCTGGAACAATGGCATGTTTTAAAAAAAAATCTCTGCTGTTAACCCGGCAGCATTAATTAGGTTCAGTCTACCGGTATCTCGTTCGTGGTGGGGTAAAGTGTAAGTGCTTCCCACCTCTTCCGAGATCTCGTCTGGTCAGCGTGGAAGAGTAGGCCAAATAACAGTACCTATCGTATTATTTGGGTCTTTCGGTAAAGCCACGTAGATAGAAAAATAATAAAAATAATAACGATATTGTTATTTTTATTCTATCAATGTGGCTTTACCGAAAGACCCAAAGAACATGAATTCCTGCAGTCACGAAAGCTTTAAGTTAAGATTTAGTACCTATAGTAGTTAAAAATAATCTTCCGGCAGCAGTGGCATGAGCGTACATGTTCATGCTGCACTTTTATCCCTACCCATGACAATATAGTGCACGGACGACTCACGCAATGTGCCATCATTGGTAGTGCAAAGAATGTGTGGCCACCAGGCACAGGCAGGTTGTCATAAACAGGGCAGTCCATAGCGGGGTGCGGAGCCTGGGGCAAATCGACAGTACTTATATACATAACAAACAAAAAAAACCTTGAAAACTAATTTCTTTAGAACCGATTTTTGTGATTAGTTTGTTGTCCTTCCCCCGCACCTCTGATTGGCACCGTTACCTAAGTACGGTGCGAAATAAGTTCAACATATACAAACAAGCCCAAATGTGTGGGCTACCTAAAACGGGAAGTATTGCATCTGACACCGTGACGTCGAAGCGTGGGGCTTCCCCCAAAGCGCGGGGTCCGGGGCAGTCGCCCCGAATCGCCGTAGCCTGGGGGGGAGGGGGGGCTTCTGGCCATAGGACTGCGAGACTGCGTGGTGAGAAGCAGAAGGCAGTACGGCGAGATGAAGGTGATCCCCACGACCTGTACGGCGTGGGGTGGCCCTTGTCCGGCAGTGAACGGATATAAACGACACACGAACCACTTTGCTGGTGATACTTTAATAGCCGAGGATAAACGCTTATATATCCTCTTAAAAACCCAACATTGGAAAGCATACGTTAACATGCATACATGTTGACTAAGGACGGATAAATGAATATCACGTGGTTAAATATCTTGAAGGCAGCAAAATTGTTGTGGAACCCAACTATTACAAGGATGAACAAACTCCACTCCTTACCTTTCCCCTTTTACCAGTCTTCTATGTTAAAAATACAAATGAAGTCATTACACACTGCACGTGCCTGATGATTGGTGAAACACGTCCCGTGCAAACGATAGCGATGATTCATCTAATGTGCGCTCTCTATCACTTGGGACATACAAGATATCGATATTTATTTAAATCATCGTTTAGCAATCTTCCGGAGAGTTCAGAATGTGATGACTTAATTTGTATTTGAACGGAGACAATTGGTAAACTTGGAATTTACAAACCCTGAGAGGGCATATGACGGGAGTTTGGGAAGACCCTGCATTTTACTTGGCAAACACGGTTGTCCTAAAATGCATGAAACATAAATTGTGTCTTGACGAGATACTGCTTGCGAGGCCTTCATCCAGCAGTGGATCGATCATGGCTGTTGCTCATAATGGCTGGAGAACATCCGATAGCATTTCAAATCAACTTCAGATATTCTGACCTTCAAGAGTAGAACCCTACCTTTCGACCACAGCACCTGGAGCGGTGCCTACTTCTGAAATTCCTAATCGTACTGCACATGCAATGTGATTGTGATTCTTGGCAAACGATAAACACACAAGCAATAGAGTAGCAACAACAACAAAACTAGCGGAATAAACCTATGATATAATCGAGCATGAACCTCTCCTACTCCTCATCCTCCGTTTCCAACTTACACTTAATGAATCATTCCGAATTCAGAGCGATGGGCTTCGGTAGGGTAGGGCGGCATACAGCTTGTAAACGGCTAATCATCTGTGAGACTGCTCCCAACCATACAAGCAGGAGGTGGTTGTCGTACAGACACCACCGTGCCAAGCAATTATCGTCAGATCTTGCAGTTTAAGGGCCCCAGTAAACGGAGGACAAAGGCGCCGTGGACATTCTAGGACACGGCGATTGCGGGTGAGGTGGTCACCAAGGGAGGCACCGCCTAACACTTGGTAGGGTGGCTGTGATGGTGATGGTAGCATGTGATAATCTGGTGGTATCTGGCGATGGTGCGTGGTGTTGATGGTGTGGTATTGTTGGTTGATGTGCTATGGTCATGGTGAATGGTCAATGGGAGTCGGTTATGGTATGTGTGTGTTGGTGGGGAGGGGGGGACGGGTGGGTGTGTGGTTTTGATGGCGAGTGGTTATTGGGTGTTGGTGTTGGTGAGGATTGTGGAGAGCTGGCTGGCTGACGGGCCCAGTGTTCACCCCACTGCCGCCTGAGGCCCCGAGAGGGGACACTTCACTTTATGGTTCTTCTTCTTCACCACCGTGTAGACGCATTTCTTCGTGTCTAGGATCGGCTCACAACTCGCAGGGAAGCCCATTACGGGCCGGAACGCACTGAGGGAAGAAACCCAGACAGGCGGTTAGGTGCGGCGTGATCAAGAAATGGGATTACAAAAATCGATTTCTTAATATTATCTGTGCGGAGATTTTGAGTGTTACACCCTCGTATGTGCAGTGGGTATTATCTTAGTATTCAAGTTTCTTTCCTCTCACCTGCCCTAAACTCATTAATAGAATATGATGAAAAGCATTATGAGTAATAAATAAGAGATTTCCTCGGACGTGAAATTCACACAATATCCATTATTTTGTATGCACTGAAAATGGCCCCATTGTTAAGTTGGTGTATTTCCATTTGCCAGCTGCACAGTATTATGTTGACAGGCATGATTCTGCGATGAGACTCATAGAGTTGAAACCAGTCAAGATTGCGTGCCTGGAAAACATTAGTCTGGAAGGACAATAGCCAGATGGATTTAAAAAATGAACATATACAAACGTGGACAAAAGAGTTGGAATAATTTGACAAATGTGTTTGATCACAGAGGCCTAGTGACACAACACAAGCTACGAAGACAATATCGACGCGAGGATTTCACTGGCTGCAAGAGCCCTTTGAAAGCTCTCAACATTACGGTCAGCTTGAGATATTTGCAATACGCTGGCGGGCCAGTGGTATGGCCTCGACGCGCACGGGCAGTTTGGCAACATTGTGTGCGGTGATTCACCAACCCTCGTAGCCACCACCGGCCGAGACTCACATGCTGCAGCAGGTCACAGTCTCGCTGGAGCAGGAACATCTCATGCAGTCGCTGGTCTGCCACTCGTCACCCTCCTTGCGGGGTTTGTCATGCTCGTCCAAACAGCCGCTGGAAACGAGCACCGGGACTGTGTGGTGCCACGTTGAGGGGCGGGGTATTCACGGGACCACCACCAAAAGAACAACAACAATCACGATTACGTTGCGCCCGTAAAGGTGACTGGACCTCTCGGAGGGCCTTTTTCTTATTAGCCTACAGGGGGCTGCCTGATGGCAGCTGGCCCTGTGTGGTGCAAGATGACCACAGCTACATCTGATTGCGAGTTTTGGATTCGTCTGCCAGTAGGAGGTGCGATGCTGCGGTTGGTTTTCTGGTTAAGATATTCAAGGAGTCGTTTTATTTTCGCATTAAAATTTGAACCATTACACCCGGCAACACATGACGTATACAAATACAGAAGCCTTTGGCGATTGCCAGAGCGGTGAATTTAAAAAGGTGGTAAAGGTCAAACTCGCAGCCTCCGCAAATTGCTTGCTCACACCACTTGTGGCCGAAGACCCACTGGATGGAAGCTCGACAGAGGCCTTCTTACTCTGCAGAGCTCCGTGGACACTTGTTTGTGTGCGAAACCATTCTGTCGGAACCCGCAGATACTCAAGGTAACAGAGACGTGGACGTCGTTGTTGTAACCCACGTTATCGAGAAGGCACATTCTAGAACAAGATGTTCCTTCAAATGGTAGTCATCACCCCCTTGGCATCTATCAATCATCTCGAGGAGTGATCTTTTGGTGGATGCAGGCAACCGGTTTGTTGAGCACCTGGGCGAGATGCAGAGGTCAAATCTAGTTGGCTTCGGTTAAAGGTCCCTTCTGATTGCCGAGCGCTCTAAAGTTCACAGTCGGTGTCATTTTCTGCGCTCGATCTCAAGTGAGCTCTGTCATCATAATAGTGCATTGTTCCTGTCACCGCGCCTCTCATGTGGTACATCTCGAGGCGTCAGAGCAAACATGAGTGTTTTAGATAATTGCTCAGTAAGGAACAGATGGTCAAGATAAAATAGAAGGTTTAAAAACGATTAAAAATAAACACATTTTTTTTTCCAGGTAAGGCCCACTGAGCGATATGGCTCCTACTGAGAAGCAACCTGACCACAAATGATAGCTCAACGAAGTGGCTTATCACGTGGAAATTTAGAGCAGCCCAATACTCTAAAAGCAAACTCCAAATATACAGGAGTCAGGGTTAGAATCGAATCCACGACCTCCTGTATACCAGGCGAGGTAGTTAACATCTCGCGACCGTGGCGAGAGTAAACATAAACAAAAAGCCAACTGCGCTCCAGCATTCTGCCAATTTTTCCACTTCGTTCCGAGTTATTAATTTCCCATTGGGAAATACTGTCTTTCGTTGGGGCTCTAATATATATCCGGATACGTTGTTCAACAACGTTGATGATCCAGGCATCGTGGGACACGCCTGTGATGCAGAGATGATGGAGGGATAGCAGTGATGATGATGATGATGATGAAGTGGCAATGATGATTGTAAGTGATGATGTGCCATTTCATTGAGGGACTTTTGCTGTGTGGTGTTATTTCGATGTGGTCTGGGGCTGTCTTGTTATTTTTGCCGCCTTGCTCAATATTGATGAATCGGACTTATATTAGTTACACACTATTTATCATATTTAGCTTACCATTTTCTATATTTTGCAACTTTTTTGTTGGATGTTGTAAACTTGCTCTCCCGACCATACTGGACATCTGTGAAAAAAAGCTTCATAGCTCATCAGGATTCCCCCTGCAGCCTAAATAAAGACTGACGATGATAATCATCTGGTAATGATGCTGGTGTGCGTTAGGGACGAGTCCTGCGAGCTCACCTCCGTCTTGAGTTTCAATGTGAGCAACGGGTTCTCGTGCTGTGCAAAAGCCGCTGCACAGCGCCACAAGGCTGCTCACGACCACGGCCACAATAGCCACTCTCTGGGTGTGTGTGTGAGCGCGTGTGCATCCACGTGTGTGTGTACACAAATGTTTGCGTGTGCACGCGCACGTGTGTGTACACAAATGTTTGCGTGTGTGCACACAAATGTTTGCGTGTGTGTGCACGCGCACGTGTGTATGTATACGTATGTGTACGAATGAATGCGTGCGTACGTGTGTGTCAGCCCAGTGTTTGCGTGTGTGCGTGTGTGTGTGCATGTGAGAGTGTGTGTGTTTACGTATGCGCGTGTGGTTGTGCCAGGGGAGAAGAGCAGATGGTTAAGGTCAGTCAGTGTCGCAATAGTTCATTAACTGTGCCAAGAACCAGGCAACATAGGTTGGATTCCCGATACGGCGTACAAAACCATTACCTACTGCTAATCGCGCATGGCGTGGGACTCCTCGAGATCGAATGAACACTGGCACTGGAGTGACAAAAGCGGGCAGGCTTTGCGTGGTCCTAGTTAAGACCACTTCACCGCGTGATGGTGACATTAATCAAATAGGTGCTCGCTAACTGGATTACCCAAAGCTATGTCAATATGGGTAAAACAATGGACGTGTGCGTGCGTGGAAAAACACACACACTTTGACTTTTAAAAATTGAAGCCACATACCGATGCCCCGAATAGCGTTGAACACGAGGGCGTGGTGTACCCAAGCCACCTTTGTCGCCCCAGTGCCGATGTTTACATTACACATCGGGTCACTTATTTACGACCGAATCAAACCACAGGGGGTCATATTCCGACTGGTCACTCGCCGAGTGATGTTCGCATTGGCACGGAACGGCACTTTTGGGTCACTGGATTCAAGAGAGCGCAGCGCGCTCACCGCTACCCCGCCGCTGGCCTCGCGTATCAAACCGAGAGCCCCTTCGACAACAACAACACTCAACCAAGACGTTAGACCTTAGAAGACCCGTTAGCGGATAAGACTGCTTATAGTTCGCTGTGCTTTTTCAGGCTGCAACTGTGCCTCCCGTGTGTATTGTTCACGCCGTCGATGCGGTTATTTTAGTTTTTGCTTTTGAAGAACGTGACCGCCCGCGCTGCTCCACAACAATAACAATGAAAAGACATTCGACAAACAAATCCTTACCATCGCGGCCATGGTGTCTTGTCGTCTCGAAGAAGGGAAGGAGAGTAAGTGGTTCGTGAGTGGCGCACTCACTCAAGGAGGTGCGCTTTTATAGGCGTGAGCGGGCGAGGCGCAAACGCCACCACTATCCAACCCTCCTCCCTCGTCGAGATCACCACACCCCACGTCCCACACATTCCGCACAGCCAGGTCTCCTTTTTTTATTGATGGCGATGGTGGTGATGGTCGGCGGGGATAAAAGGGGGAGTGGTGGGGGAGGGCGTGTGGGTTGACGATCGAGGTGGCGGTGAGAATGGCGAGAAAAGCGTCAAGCGTGTGATGTGACATCAATTTGACCGATGATGATGATGGCGATGAACAATGTTTGGTGGTTGATGCTGCTGCTGCTGCGTTGGCAGTGATGCACATGAACAATAACGCAACGCATTCTTCAACAACAGTGCCTTAACACATACATAATCGTTTCGGGTAATGGCCCTTCTTCGCAGCATAGTTTACATGTTTTGTTTGGCTTCTCACGAGTCCCCATGGTCTTAAGTGCTGCCTCCAACCCTTATAAACAACTCCATATCTCTGGCTTCTCTGTGGATGTGCTATGAAGGGCCATTGACCAAAAGTTGCCTATTATATAAGACGAGATGATGATTATTGATGATGCGATGGTGATACCAATTACACGGCTGATGATTAATTGATCAATTATTTTGATGATAAGCATGACTTGACAGTTGGATGTAAAGTAAGGATATTAATTTGCAGTGATGACAATGATTAAGTGATATACGTTTTCTAGCAATGACCTCATTTTAAAAAAAACGCACAAATAACAGGAAATAAAACATACGTGCTTATATTGTAAATAGTGCATAAGGGGACGTCCATAAATGACGTCACGCGATTTTGGACGATTTTTGACCCCCCCCCCCCCTCGTCACACGGCGTCACAAATGTCTTACCCCCCCCCCAGGTGCGTGACGTCATTTATGGACGGCCCCTAAGAACGCGCAGACCTTTGATAACCCACTGCTGGGTCAAGGTCTCCCCACGCCTCAACAGATGTAGGGCCCTTTGCCATTACCAACGGACAATGACCAGTGTGGTGAAGTATGGCCAGACAACCCACACGGACCAACACGGACCAACACGGACTGGGGAAGGGGCGGGTCGCCTTCGTTCAGAAGCGGCTTCACAAAAGTAGCTGTGCATTATTACGTAATTTTCACATTTCATATAGTGGACGGAACAAAACCAATAGTTTGAAAAAAAAAAACCCCACCAAAGATGCAACAACAACAACAAACCCCAAGACAATAGAAGCTTAAATTCACTTTAATTGAAGGATGATTTTGATTACAAATCATAACCTCGTGACAAATCATCATCAGCAAAAAAAAACAAGCGCAACGCATATCCTGCAGTCGCAAGTATTATCAAAGATGCCACGTGTACTCCGTATAACGTTTGTTACGCATGGCTCTGACACCATTCTGCCCGGTCAGACATCTCGCAGACGTCCGCCACGGAGTGGGACGTTTTAAACTTGCCGCTTGTGCGCATGCGCTGCGACCCGCTCCTTCCCTCCCTCCCTCTCGCCGTAAGGAATTTTCCGTCTGAACTTTCCACCAAGAAAAAAAAATTGTCTGGCCGGATAACTTTTCTTCGTTTTTGTAAAAAAAAAAAAGGGGGGTTGGTTTGAACAAAAACAAAAGCAATATACAAACACAAAACAACAATAAACTATTTTTTTTTGCCGTTCCGGTCGTTGGAGCATGTTGATAGAACAGGTTTTTTGTTTTACACTTTTGAAAATGTAATTACGTAACGTTGTTCGAGTGTATAATATTGATACCCACAATTCATGATGATTGGAAACACAGAGCCTTTGCTGTGTGCCATGATATAGTGGTGGACCTATGAATCTTGGGGCAAAACTGGCCATTGCCTTACCCAATGGGCCCTATTATTACATCCATCTCGTTGGGCGATGTTTATATATAACGTTTAAGTAAATCATGGAATCACACAACTTAGCATTGCAATTTAATGATGTAAAACAATCGTTTTCTCTAAACAAGACAAAACATCCAGAAATTACAGATTTCAACGTTGATACGATTGAAAATTCTCCACATCGGATGATACACTATATTCATCAACATTCGAATGGTTAATCCACAAAAATTCCACACAATCTCTCAGTCTTTTATTATTGCATTGCTACATCAGGGTGTTTGGCCAATTCATTTATTGAGCGTTTGGCTTCACGTGGGAGGGAAATCGGAGGACCCGGGAGAACATCCCTGCACGCCGAGGAGATAGGTGACACTCCACTTCCATGTCCTGATCACAAGTTCGCAGCACGGTACGCCTACAAAACGTGGCAAGACCGCCACGAACTAAGTACCGAGCCAGGCTTAACCCATCCCTCCTCCCTCATCAGAGGCGTCAAAAGGGCGGCATGCAGACCAGGGCCAAACAACAACAAGAAACAACTTTCGCCATCTGGAGTCAACGTTATTAAATGAGCAGAGTACAATGAGAACATTTCTGAATAATACTAGAGCTCCCTCAAGTGGGAGGAAGGCCCCACTTTGCCAGCCAGCAATTGCAAGGCTGAACTTTACAACAAAATTTAAACCTGAATCCACATCAGAGCGCATACTTTCAAGCACAGCAGCAGCAGCTGAACTCGGTAGCGTAACCTACCGCTACAACGGAACCTGTCCGAAGCTATGCGAAGCATCGTGCGGTAAAGAGAAGTGTGGGGGTTGATTGCAACCACCACCTACGCCTGGCAGGAGATGGGCAGTCATATCAATAGCATCTACATTCTACATGACACCCGCTTGACACAATTGAGCATTCGTGCCGTTGATCGGTCTTTTGTATCAACGTGGCTTTACGTTGGTAATTTGTGATTTGTGATGTCAATGTATTTTGCCCATCTCTGCCGAGTGGATTGGGTGGGGGGAGCGCAAGCGGCGGCGGCGGGGTGTCAATGATTAGCTGAGCATGTGTCACTGTGCCACGTTGTGGCTGGGGTCGTGAGCGAACCCGTGGTGGCACCAACTCTGGGGCTGACTACGAGAGAGACATGTGCTGGACGAAACACTTCTCGCTCGGGTTGTTCTTCTTCACCAGGTTGTATTTGCACTGGTCCACGTCCAAATCCAGCCTGCAGTCATCCGGGAACATCACCGGCTTGCTTATGCTGTTCGCACGTAGGGGATGGGGGGGGGGGGTAAGGAAGCACGTTACGTTGACATCCACTGTCTGAACCAGCGGTCACTTTTAAGGCGTCTCAAATCTCAGACTTAGCTCCGTGATATCCGCTTCCGTGGGCAGCTATATAACGCCAAAATGTTGCATTAAATCAAGGCCGTAGCCATGGAGTCAACATTGGGGGGTGGGGGACAAAATCTTCCAGGGTGTCAGGGGGTCCCAACCCAGAAAAATATCTAAATTTGAAAACTAATTTCCTGCCTAAAATATATATATAATAAATTCACTAACACATGGGAAAGACTTTTTATTATGTTTTACAACAATGTCTAATAGAGTATTGTATTACATTGCTCTGTTCTTACTTTTTTACCATTTCTTGTTTCATTGTATGTAATGGCAGAGATTAGGGATTAATAAAGTACAACTATAACCACAATCATATAAACAGAAATCTATGCATTGATTTATATGAAGACAAGTCCAGATGTTGTGGCCAAGGTTTAGCAAATTGTTGCTTTTATTTACATCGCATAGCAATTTTTTTTATAGCAATATATTGGGGGGGGGGGCATTTTGAGCATATTTGAATATTGGGGGGGAAATATGTCCTCCTCAATATATATTATTATTACGGCCTTTCATTAAATGCGTAATTTCAGCCAGAAGAGTCCGGACATTTCCAGGAAATTGTTTTTGCACACCACTTCCATATCGCCTTAATTTGGTCTAAAACTGCTCGTACGATCATAGGAATATAGGGCACACTATAGGGCACACTAATATAGGATGATTATAGGTAGGCATATATATAGGTCGTTCTTTCGTGGAAGTATCCTACATCCTGGCAGCGTTCTGGAAAATAACGAGTGCGAAATTAAGCACTGGTTTAACCATTTCTGCAAGGGTTCCAATTGGTAATTTCGTCTCAAGACCAAACAATTAAAGAATATAAAAAACATTGCTCTATTGGGTTATCGTTCAAAATCAATTCAAAACATGCACCCCTTCGCTCATCCACGGCTGGGTGAAGGTCTGTCCGTACCGTGTCGGTCATGAGCGGTCGTTTGCCCATACTTCACCCCGATGGTCAGTGCAGGTTTGTGAGGGGGGGGTAAATCAGGGCAGGTTCAGATAATAATCACTCGCCACCGATGTCAGCGGTGTACGGGAGTCGAACCGAGGTCGCCGGGTTCATGGTGCAACGCGGCTAAGCGCGGCGCCACCTCTCACCCCGTATAGCTTCGTTATAACGCTAACGTCATCGCTGCTTTGACAATGACCATACTTCACCGCGCTGCTCAGTGCGATGTTGATGAAGGCAGGAAGAATCGACGCTGGAGCATAATACACCGCTATAATACGTTGGGTTTTTGTTTTTCTGCACTGCCCTCTGCTGCCCGCAGCGCAGCCTCCGCAGAAGCAAGGTTGGTCGCCCATCGGCCAGGAGCGCACAGCCGCGGGCGGGAGACGCGCGCAGGGAGCACGAATCTCAATTATAAACTTTCGTTTTATTTAAAAAAAAAATACCCGGTGTAAGGTCCAATGAGCTACATAGCTCTTTTTTTAACAGAAGCGACCTGGCTGTCATAAATGGGAGCTCAAGGAAGTGGCTCATCATCGCGTAAATGTAAAGCAAGCAGACAAATATTATAAACGCGCGGTGGGAGCACAGAGATCGTTCACACAGCGCGCCCATTGCAGCGGCTACAATCAAGGGGTGACATCGCATGGGATATTTGGCAGGGTCGCTCAACTCCCAATTCCCACCTGCCAACCACGCCTGATAGCCGGTGGGGGGGCGGGCGCGGGGGATGAGTGGGTGAGTAAGTCGGTGAATGAGTGAGTGAGTGGAAGAATAGGTGAGCCAGTGTGTGCCCGGGTGAGTGAGTGACAGAGTGGGTCGATAAGTGGGTGGGTGAGTGACTGAGTGGGTGAGTGACTGAGTTGGGTGGGTGAGTGACTGAGATGGGTGGGTGAGTGACTGAGTTGGGTGGGTGAGTGACAGAGTGGGTCGATAAGTGGGTGGGTGAGTGACTGAGTGGGTGAGTGGGTGAGTGACTGAGTGGGTGGGTGAGTGACTGAGTGGGTGAGTGAGTGACTGAGTGGATGAGTGGGTGGGTGAGTGACTGAGTGGGTGAGTGGATGAGTGACTGAGTTGGGTGGGTGAGTGACTGAGTTGGGTGGGTGAGTGACAGAGTGGGTCGATAAGTGGGTGGGTGAGTGACTGAGTGGGTGAGTGGGTGAGTGACTGAGTGGGTGGGTGAGTGACTGAGTGGGTGAGTGAGTGACTGAGTGGATGAGTGGGGGGGTGAGTGACTGAGTGGGTGAGTGGATGAGTGACTGAGTTGGGTGGGTGAGTGACTGAGATGGGTGGGTGAGTGACTGAGTGGGTGGGTGAGCAATCCGTAAACCGTGGTAGTAGCGATACAACGGTGATAAGGGCGTGACATCTTGCGAGTGGAGTGAATCGGTGTGTGCTGGATCATCGATCGGCCTAACCAGAATGCTGAATGTAAAAACAAAACGATGCTAAAGGTGAAGGTGCAGCACTGCAATGGCTTTCTGGGGTCACTGCCGGTGGAAAAGCTTCCACGCGAGGGCGCTGTTGAGAGCCCTTCTACTCGAGATGGTCCCCGTGAGTACCCACACCGTACAACCCACACCGCACGCGACCTGGAGGCGCCTGGGCGAGTGTCTGGAGTCGTGATACGCGGAGTGCGCGGGGATCGTCAATCAGCCCGTCCGCTTTACTTTATCTGGCGCAGCGAGGGAAGAACTGGATTGCTACCCCCATCCCAGACAGGATCGCATCTGCTGTCCGCGTGTGGCGAGTGAGTGTGGTGCGTGCGTGAGTGAGTGAGTGAGTGGAGCCTCGTACGACAAGCAGCATTGGATGCCGTCGGACGTGCAGTCGCAACTTTCGCACTGGGAGCTCGACCATTTGAGCCCCAATTTGCGGAATCGGCCCTCGTGAAAGCAGCCAACGGTAGCCAGGCCTGGGGAAAGCGCGCACGTGGGCCAGAGTCAGTGACGCGCAGCCAACAGCGCATTAACCCACCACACCCTCCTTCTCCCAGAAACATACTTACATATGCTAGAGAATTGTTATTTGAGCTCAGTAATAGTAATAACGATTGACAGCCCTTTGCCAATCTACTGCTGAATAAAGGGCCCAATTTGACGCCGTGTCGGTCATAGATGGCGAATTGTTTGACCATACTTCACCACGCTAGCCATTAAGTTTGTTTAGGAAAAGATCGCAGGATTGATTCAAGGGCGGTGAGACAGTAATCCAGCAGTGGATTGACAAGGGAGCTGAAATGTACAATAATTAATAACTATATTACTTTAAATTTTCATTTAAAGCTTTCGTGACTGCAGGGATTCATATTCTTGGTTCTTTCGGTAAAGTCACGTAGAAGGGAAACAATAAAATATATATAAAACAATAACATTCTCACGACGTTTCGACTGCAACACAAGCAATCATCATCAGGTGTGAAACACACAGCAATAAAATTTGAAAAAGTGGCATTTTTTAAACGTTAGCACCACGGAGAGCGATTTGGCAGTTATTCAGATGGACGAGTCCATCTATGTTCGGAAAAGAAGAGGGGGGAGACGAAAATAATGGATGCGGTCTGAAAGCCACCGTAAACGTGATCAATTAAGACCCGAAATGGCTTATCAAATCTTTCCAATGATTGCTAAGCCAGAATCCATCTTCTAGGTTGAAATTGTCTCTGTGTTTGTATATGTGGATAGCCTCATGAACGAATCTCTCATGGTAGCCAGATGGCTTGCAGATAACCTCTGTCTTGAAGAAGTCAATGTCATGTTAGCCTACTGAATTATAATAGGACCAACACCTCGGCCGTGGCAGATCACTGTTATGATTAATTAGGCTCACATGACATTGACTTCTCCAAGACAGAGGTTGTGCGTGCGTGCGTGTGTGCTCACTGACCCACCTGATATGGGTGACTTGATGGATATGGTTGGCCCGTAGTTATGGCAGTTGTCTTTGTCTATGCAGAGTACCACGGCTGCTCCCAGCAGGAGCAGCAGGAGTGTTGACAAAGTCCTCTGGGGGGACGCGGAGTGGGAGTTTGGAGAGACGCGGTCGCGGTCACATGCGGCGAGGTGGGAGGACAATCGTTTTGGAATGAAGTTTCACGTCTTAGCGATTTATCCACGCAGCTGATTCTTTTTAGAACATCCCGGCGGTTTAACCAGCAAATAAAAATGGCTCGTTTCACTCGCGCCTCGCAGCAAAAACAAAACAAAAACCCGCCTACGTTCGTTTCCCGACTCGGGCGCCTTTCCAAGTGGAGTCGGTCTGCTCGCTCCCCTGAACCGCATTGCCTTTCCTCCGAGTTCCCCGCTTTCCTCCCATAGCAACAAGAACAAAAGCACAAGACTGCAACCGGTATTGGCCCAACAACCCAATGCTGAAACATTCCCTGGGAACAACTCAGCAACATCGCCCCCTTAACTGCAAAAAAATGTAGCAGGACCGTCCTGAACAAGAGTCTTAAGGCCCCGTGAGACTTTCCTCGGTAAACGAGCGGAAACGAAACGGGACATTTCATTTGGGCCTAATTTGCGTTACATTTTTATTTTATTTTATACCTACGGTGACTTTACCGAAAGAACCAAAAAGTATGGATTACTGCAGTCACGAAAGCTTAAAATCAAGATTTACATTTTTAGATTTTTTTTTTTGCTACTGCCGCAGAGTGATATTTGTATTGTATGTGTCTGGCCGGGCCTCTTATATACATAACCTCTATATCTGTATCCCGATCACACTCGTCCACACATTACGGTATATACAAATTTAAGGTGCACATCAAACGCAAGCTCCAGCTGTGAAATAGGGAAATTCAAATCCGCTGGCAGGCGTTGCTTTGACGGAATCGTGATCGAGAAAAGGTGCGCGATACAAGTCTATGCACATCTGGATGAGATGCGTGTGCTCTTAAGAAGGCGCATGCCTCGAAACGTCGCCTATTGTCCATGTCTTCACCAATCCGCATTAACCCGCCTGGTGAAGTATGGTCCAATAATCAATAATCACCCCACTCCCCCGACACGCGGAGGCGCCTTCGTCCATCCTCATCCAGCAGTGGATCGACAAAAGGGCCGTACATATACAAAACCATATACGTATATATTATTTTAGTAAGCACCCACCTACCATTGTAAAGGATATTTTCACCAGCGTACGGATTTAAATTGTACACAATTACGTATATTCATTAACTCGGTATACGAAATGCGAAATTTGCATCCAACACACACATGTATCTATGATACCCATATGCAAAGACAAAGATCCGACTTAGCGAGTTGTACCTATCAAGACCGGCAAGGCACACGAGGGGCTGGGTGGCCAGCACCACTCCCGACCCCCTTTGTATCCCCAGTGGCCCAGACCCGGTTCAAATAATCGTCGCTGGTGTTCGCCGTGAGTGGTAATCGAACTGGGGTCGACGGGTTCGGAGCGCAGCGAAGCGCTAACCGCTGGACTACCGCTACCCGCATGCACGCCCATACAACACACACAGACACGGACTCACAGGACTAACCATGTTGCGAAAGGTTTCGTTGGATCTGCAGAAAGAAGTGACCGAGTGTGGATCCGGGATCCTATTTATATCCTACAGGTGAGGTCACGGATCAGTTTCACGAGTATTATTATTTATTTATTATTGTGTGTGTTTGTGTGTGCGTGCCCGTGTGTCAAGCGCTCATGGGATTAACGTTGCATCGCCACGTCTGCATATTGACGACGATCGCCAGCCGCTGACATCACAAAGGCGCCGTAAAAATTCCGTTACGTGTCGCACAACAAAGACAAAGCCCCCCCCCCGCTCCTCCCCCGTATAGCCTCAAACAGACTGTCGGGGGCAAGTGCTGTTCGCTATCAGCAGCGATGAAGGGCGGCACGGCGCACGAGGGGGTGGGTGGCCAGCACCACGCCCGTTGCACGACACGCCAAGGCACACACGCACACGGATGTTCGAGACGCCTGGTGACGTCGTCCACTGAATCCGGCTCGCGATGATAAAGTTGCGAGTTCCACTCCTGGCCGGTGTCGTCGACTCAGACCATCATCCCACCGGGGTCGTTTCAACGAGTACCACTTTGTGGGAATGTGACAGGGGCCTTTGACTTTGGTTGAATCTGACCAGATGGAACCTCGGTTAAGAGCCGCGTGGTTCACTCTCAATGGGAATGTTGCGAGTTCTACTCCTGGCCGGGGTGGTCGACTCAGTCCATAATTCCACCGGGGTCGTTAAAATACGTACCACTTTGTGGGAATATAACAGGGTCTCGACGACGGTTTAATCTGAGCAGACGGCACAGTGGTTCAGCGCGTTCGGCTCGCATTGGGAGTTCCAACCTCAACCCGGCAGACAAAAAAAAACTCACCACAGTATACCTCATGGGTCAATAAAATCGGGTAACAAGGTCTACAATTGGGATGACATTAATAGTATACACCTGGTGAAGGCGATTTGATCAGGAAAAGCGGCATGTTGATCACTACCGAAAACTCACAGTAGGGGGAGCACTTTCCAACAGTATCTAAGATCAGATTGCTGCGTGTCAGTCGACCAAATATGTTTAATTCTGAGAACGGGAAAGCTGCCAAATTTAGCACAAACCCAGTCAGTAAGAGCAGCAGTGGTGAAGTGGTTAGCGTGTTGTGCTACGAAACTGGTGGCCCGAGTTGTGATTCTTGCTCATGGCCACTGGCGGATTATCCGAACCTGATCGATCTTGGGCCTCCCCTAGGTCGACTCAGCCTACCTGGTGCGCTGTATAAACATCGCCACGAGGGAGACCGAGGCAGCCGGGCGTGGTGCTGGTTACCCACCCCCTAGAGTGCCGTTCCGGCCTTCATACGAGCGCCCTAACAGCCCTTGCCGCAACAGTCTGTTAAGTCTATACGGGGTATATTTGTCTTTGTTGTGCGTTCAGTGAGCGGGCGGAGACGATCAGCTCGCCACGGTTGGGGACGGGTGGCTGAAACCCGGATTCAAACCCAGGCTTTCATTGATGCCGGCTCAGGATCCGAGAGACACCTGGTCACCTCGACCGTCATAACGCCTTGTTGCAGTTTATTTTGTTGAATCAGGCGAGAAATCAAAATAGAAGGTTACGATAACTTGCAGCAATGTAACTGCATTATAATTATTGTTAACCCTGGGCTAGTATCACGCAACTTTCGTGAACACGGATCCAATGACTTAATGCGGTGTTTCTGAAATGCGAAAATCAACATGTTTGTTGAATTTCATTCTTCACTGTGACTGTTGATTGATGACGGCCCAAGCAGGTCCGGGAGTCTGACGCAACGCCACCAGCCCGTCTCCTAACCCGCTCTGCCCCCCTCTCTGCTGCATGAAATGGTGGCGACCATCCGCTTAATCCCCCCTCCTGCATCGGCGTCGTGGAGTGAGGCTATAGGCTCGCCGTGTTTGCAGTGGAACTTCCCATTCGGTGCAGTGGGGAGGAATGTTCGAGGCTGTCTCGACGTCATGATATTAAACCGATTCATGGTGATTATAATTATAACAAAAATATATATAATACAAAATATATTATTGTCACGTGTTTATCTATGAACACCACAGTGGAGTACTCATTTTCAGGAGGGTTCCGCTAAGGTGGGTTTTTATTTTTAGATGTTATTAGCCAATTCATTAGCGTTAATATGAAACTAAAACCATTTAAAAAAATGTTTTACCAGGTAAGGCCGACTGAGCTATATAGCTCTTTTTCAGACTTCGTTAAGATGATAGCTTAACGAAGTGGCTTATCGTGTGGAAATGTATGGCAGCCAAAGACTCTAAACGCGTGATGTTGATTCTAAATGTTGAGGGGAAAACAAAATGGTAGATTAATAACAAATGGTAGATTCTAACCCAGATCACGTACAATATTTACGCGATCTAACCCCAAAAAAAACAGTTTTCGATATTGATCGAGGAAGCCTGCGTGTTAAACTAAACGGACGATTACTCGACACTTTCTGTACTGCCCTCACCTGGCCGGCCAGATTATGGCACCTCTTGGACAACCAGGGGAGTTTCACAACAATTGGTGTGACCCACCGACGCCTCGCTGCCTCAATTACTAGCCACGCACGTGCATAGCCACCACCGCCACCGCCACCACCACCGCCGCCCATTCGCTTGAAGCCCCTTCTATGGCAAGTTCACGCTTGAGAAGAAAGGCGTTTGATCAAGTCCACGCGACTTCCAACTTGTTTCTCGGCTGTCCGGGGATATACCCACGGCCGACAGATTCAGCGACACGACGAGTCACTCAGACCGTGGGCTGACGTCTAACCGCACCTGGGCACGGAACATTCTCCTCGAGAGGTCAACAGGTGAGCATCCGCTCGCCCGCGCTACGTGCCAGACCGCACGATGCGACAGCCGGATGGTTGAGGCGCGCCACATGCGTATCGTTTACATGAACGGGAGAAAAAAAAACACGGGAACAAAAACATGAAAATGCGTAAAAAGGCAAAGAGAGGTGCGTGTAATCACACGTCACGAAAGACACCCAAAGGCAAAGATCTCCCGGACAGCGTTGAACAGACTATTAAGATAACAATTGCTGCGAGCGAGCACCTATTAAGACCTTCACAGCATAAGAGGGGGTGGGTGGCCACAGCGGCGCGATCGGCCGTGTTTGTCTATCCACTGTTGTTGTTGTTGTTTACACTCCGCACCAAGTAGTCGTTTCGAGTCTGAATCGACCTCGGGTAGGTCCGGGACCCGTTCAAATGTTCGCCCACTGTTATCGGTCGCGAGCGGTAATCGAACCCGGTTCGCCTGTTTTCGTAGCGCAGCGCACTAACCCTGCACTGCAACCACGGGCACACTCAATCCGCACACAAAATCTCAAATAAATTAGGATGAGCTCTGTCTCGGTCACTGGCGACACAGGTACACACACGCACGCGCACAAAGGCATGGAAATAGATGGGATCACTGATAGATCACGGAGGCGTGCAGCAGATTATCATCACGGCGATGTTTTGGGTAACGTTAAGTACACACGCGCAGGCGTTGAATAAACAGGGCGAGTTCCTTTACGTCCTGAGCGCGATTCGCACGCAGCGGGTGATTTCAGTGCCGGGTCTGCTACGAACGTCACGCGCAGACACACTGGAGGGGAAACATCACGCGGTGCTGGACGCGTCCGTGGGTGGGTGCCAGAATACACTGTTATGCGATGGGGGGGGGCGACAGTTTTCCTAGCAAGGGTACTGAGTTAGATCTTCATTAATTGATGAATGGAAAAAAAACAAAGATCAAAAATGGTCGATCACATTCAGTTAAAGAAAAGTCTATGCATTCGTCAGCAACAACAGGGGGAAAATAAAAAACTTTGATCCACCACCTGCCACTGCTTGATTAATTTAAAAAATATATATATGTAAACAGTTTATCTTATTTTACAAGGTTAGGCCCACTGAGCTATATAGCTCTTTTTTCAGGAGCGACTGGGTCACAAATGTTAGCCACACAAATAGTGTGGCTAACATTTGTGTGTTAGCCACACAAATAGTGTGGCTAACATTTGTGTGGCAATCCATTCGGTCGGCGCTTTTGCGTGATAGAATAGAGTCCGTGAACCATAGGAAAGATTGCGCATGCCTCATGTAGCCAACGAGAAGCAATGCCACAATGAACAACCGATGGAAAGCGCATGGGGTCGAGCTGTTAACAGGTTAGAGCGTGGGGTCGAGCATGGGATGGAGCTGTTACGGGTTAAAGCGTGGGTTAGAGCGTGGGATCTAAGAGCATGGGATGAATTAAAATCGCTCTATTATTTCCACGACTCCTTGTATGGGCAAGTACACGCCCAAGCTCAGCGTATTTGGGCACGACGCAGCTACTTTATAGAGCCTTATTTCGGCCTTCATATTTCACGCGCAGCGCCCTGCTCGTACCCCCCCCCCCTCGAACCTCGCGCCCAGCCCTTGCTACGGCACCGACTCGTGCTGATTCTCGCCGTTGTCACACACACAGCGAGGACAGATCGTCCCTCGCACGTGTGACGTGCCTGTCGAAGGTGCTCACCAGTCACATACTTTCTTAAGAGCCTCGTGAGGCTGCAAATGTGTGGGCCGTGTGGGAGGGGGACCTCTGTTTGACCTACTTAGGCTCATACAACAAGCCACGTGTGTTTTTGGAGGTGTCTCTCAACAGCAGCAATTATATGCACGTATGTTGACTTTATCTTGTACCGTACCTAGCCAACCGCGCTCATCGGAGGTGCGGGCGGAGGACAACAAACTAAACACACAAAAAATCAGTTCTGAAGAATTGAGGTTTCAATCGACGTTTTAAAGTGCGTAGCTCTAGTGGCTTCCTAATATCGAGGCTCGATATTAGGAAGCCATTGCGTTGGACCCTCCAATTCACACACAGTATTGGAGGGCTCTTGCCTATGTACACGTGTGCCACTTGTCAATCCACTGCTGGATGAGGTCATTCTCGTGGAGGATACAGATAATTATTCTACCACGCGTCATGTCACCTTTAGGTGGCTTTGTCAATTGAATTGTTTTCTTATAATTTCAAACTGTATATTTTTTTGGCCTCTGTTTGTAAGAGCTTGGATGACCGCATCGATTATTTCTGAGTCGAATGCTTTTTTCA